GTGGGTGTGTGCTGGTAGCACCCTGTGGGGGTGCCGGCAGCTTGGGGGGCTCCCCTGAGGGTGTCTGGGTGTGCTGTGCAGTGTGGAGGGGCAGAACCCCCCAGCATGCACCAGGGAGTGAGGTGCTGGTAAGGGTGCCCTGTGGTGCTGTGGGGAGGGTGCAGGCAGCTAGAGAGGCCTGGGGGAGGGGGTTATGTCAAGCAGCCTCCCTGTGGGGAGAGGCCAGGCTGGGGGGATCAGGCCATGCTGCAGAGTGCTGGAAGGGTGAGTCTGGGGGTGACTCTGGGGCTGTGGGACCACCAGGAAGCAGAGGGACAAGGGGAACGATGCTGTGGGCATGCAGGTGTCATGCTGGCGTGGGCACAGCAGCCTGGGGCAGGGCCTCAGCCACAGGGGTAGGACAAGGCAGGAGGGGGATCTGGCAGCACCAGCTCTCCCTGGAGTCACGCTGAGGTGGGTTGCAAGCAGTGCTTTGAAAAGAAAGGATTCAGCACACGTGATGGGAAGCTGCAGGGAGTTTTGCTGTGCAGCTCATTTTTCCAAAAGCTCTCATGTTGCCTTTTCTGCACACAGCTCCTGCTCAGCTCGGGAGAGCTGTCAGGGTCAGCACAAGTTGTGTCTTGCTTTGATTTCTGGCGTGGGGTTGTCACTCTAAGGGACAGAATGTGTCCATCCCCCCTCTCAGCTTTCCTGGGTGCTTTGCTCACCATGATGAAACTGCTTGTGTACCTCATGGGGGGTAAAATACACAGGAAAGTGGCTGAGAAATTTGGTTTAGAGTGGAAACCAAATGTGGCTGTGGCTGTCTTTGTTCTTTGTAATGACAAGGAAATGATGGGCTGGGGTTTTGTTTCGATTTAAAATATTCATTGTGTGGAGGAGACAAGTTTTGCAGCTTCTTGTTGGTTGCGGGGGAGCTGAGTGCTGCTCCCTGCTGCTGTGCAACCTTTCATCTAGACACAAAGAAGACAAGTCACGATGAACGCATCTCCCTGGCTCTTCAAAGCAAGAAGCAGTCGGGCCTGCTTGGGGAAAAACAAAGGATATTCACAGGGAGCAATCAGGCAGACTAATGTAACTGTGTTGTGTTTTATCTGGAGGATGTCACTGTTGGGTACTTCAGATAACATGGAGGCCACCTTTGCTGAGGGGTATCCATGCCTGACCCAACCCTGGCACCCCTTCTGCTTGCTGTCCTTGCCCACAACCAGCCCTTGGTGCTTGGTGAAGTCTCCCCAGGTTCTCCCCTGCCCCTCGGGCCCGTCACTGATGACAAATAGCTTCTAACGCTCTCCTTGTATAAACTCATCCTGCTGCTCTTCCCAGCCCTTGCCTCGCCGGTTCAGGGCACGATTACGTGGCCTGGCTGTGGGGTTGGAGGCTGGGCAGCTGTTGGTTGTGCTGCCTCGAGCCACTGCTGCTCTGGAGGCTGGTATTGCAGGGCACGGGCCGGCCCTGCCTGCTGCTCCCAGCCCTGCTTCGTGCTGCAGGAAATACAGCAGCGTTGCTGTGGGTTGAATAACTGCTCCTGAGCAGCAGGGATGTGGGGCAAGCATCCAGAGTTGAGCAAAGTCCCTCGCTCCCTGCTTCCCTTCTGGTGGCGAGGCAGCTCCTGCCTTGCTTTTGTGCACAGCAGCCGGATTGGCAGAGAGAATCTGGTGCTGGGAGAACGTCTGGGAGCTCTGGGGGTGGAGCAGGACTCAAGCAGCCTGGGCTGAGCTTCCCCTGCACAGCCCAGTGCTCAGGCCTGTGCTGAGGCTGCATCCTCTGGATGCTTGCGTGACCCCTCGGGAGCCTGAGGAGATGTCTGGCAGGAAACGAGCCCTTCTGTGGGAGCAACATTTCACTGCTGCTTCTGCTTGGCCCCAGCCCAGCTCCCCACCAGCACCACGGGGGACTGGCACTGCTGGGACGGAGGCATGACGCCCCAGAGGAGCCTTGGGGCAGGGACTGAGTCCCCAGGCTGTGTGGCAGGAGCCTGATGGATAATTTCCCTGCCTTTGGTTCTCTTTCCTGGCGGGTGCTCAGGGGGCTGGAGGAAGCAAAGGCGTGTTTTGGGCTGTGCAGAAGCAGCGGGAGCTCCTCAGGGCACATGTAGGAATTAAACCAGCAGACAGCTTCCTAACCAAAGGCAGGAGGCTTGTGTCCTTGGTGAGGACTTGTGCCAGTGCTCCTGGCTTGTGTGGCTCTGCTGGGGTTTGTGCTGGAGCAGGAGCTTCGGGTTGTGCAGGGGGCTCATCCTGGGAAGCTCCTTAGTCCTGTGGACACCTCTGTGGCTGTGGGACCTTTGGGGCAGGTGGTTTGCTGTCAGCACGTGGGCTGTGCTCCTGCCTGAGGGAGCATAATAAATCTTTTAAAAAAAATTCTAAAATGAAAAGTCTTCCATTTAAGAAAAAATAAAAAAAAAAAAGGGAAGTTAGGAAACTTTCCCTTCCCTGGCAAGAACGAGCTGTTCCCTTGCAGCCAAGTGTGTGGGGGTTAAAATAGTTGCCCTCCCTGCCCTGCTGCCTGTGCCACCCTCGGTGCCACCCTCACTGCCCTTAGAGCAGGGGTACACAGGTCCCTTATCTTAGGATGGGGCCTTATCACGTGTCATATCCAGGCTCTGCTGCAGGATCCTGAGCTCATCCTTGCCTGGCTGTTGTGGTTTAACCCCAGCTGGCAACTCAGCACCACGGAGCCACTCGCTCGTTCCTCCCCCTGCCCTGGTGGGGTGAGGAGGAGAATTGGGAGAAAAAGGAAAACTCAGGGGTTGAGATAAAAACAGTTTAATAATTGAAATAAAAATAATAATAATTGTAAAGGAAAGAGAGATGACAAAAAGAGAGGGAAATAAACGTGAAGCAAGACAAGGGATGCCCAGGAGGGTGCATCACCACCTGCTGACCGGTGCTTGGCCAGTCCTGGGGCAGCGATCGGCCCCTCCTGGCCAACTCCCCCTTGGTTTTACATACTGGGCAGGACGTCTTGTTATGGCTACTTCAGGCCAGCTGTCCTGGCCATGCTCCCTCCCAGCCTCTTGTGCCCCTGCTCGCTGGTGGGCACAGGAAACTGAAAAATCCTGAGCTTAGAATGAGCGCTGCTCGGCAACGACTGAAAGAGCGACTAAAACATCCCTCTGTTCCCGGCCTGAGTCTCCTAAATCCAAAGCACAGCACTGTACCGGCTGCCAGGAAGGACATTAACTCTCTGCTGGCCGAAACCAGGACAATGGGTGTGCCTGAAACGGGGCACGAGGCTGGAGGAAGAGGCAGTGGGAAGGTGCCGTGCACCTTTGACCCGAGGACATCCCCGCTCCGCGATTGCTTGGGCGGGAGCGTGCAGCTCTATAAAAGCCCGGGATGAGACCTTGCTCTGGCAGCACGAGCCGGGCTCTCTGCACCATGGGTGCCAAGGACGCCGAGAAGGGGGGTGTCGAGCTGGGCACCCCTAATGCAGATCCCCCCGCAGGGACCATGTCCACCCGGCGCCTCCGCAGCGAGGACTACACCGACTACAGCTCCACGGAGGTGACGCCGGAGGGCAGCCCCCCCGGGGGCTTCAATGGCTTCGCCCACCCCGACTCCTACCAGCGCTTCGGGGAGGCCAACGGCACCACGTGAGTGCCCGGGGGCACCTCCCTCCCTGCCCCGGCCGCGGAGGCTTTGCGGGAGGGTGGTGGGGCCGTGGTTTTGTGGGGAGTCCCTCCTGGGGGTGGCGGGGGCGGCGCTGTGGTCGTGCCTCCGTGGGGTGCTGGCACCAGGGGAGCAGCTGCCCCAGCGTCGCTCCCTGATGTTCAGATGGTGTTCACCTCTTCCAGCTAGGTTCAGTGGGGAGCTGTGGGGAGCAAGCAGCGTGTCCAGCTTCAGAGGGTGCCTGGGCATGTTGCAGCCATGCCTTGGGAGCCTCTTTGTTCCTTGTTCACTTGGGGTGGCAGAGGATGCTGTCTCCCAACTGGGTGACTTCCCTGTTGTGCAGCCCCTCAGCGCTGAGCTGTGCTCCTGCTGAGTTTGCCCTGGAGCTGGTTTTGCAAATGCTCATCCGAAATGTGTTTGGTGAGTCTTTGCCTCCACAGGGGACAGGATCTGGGCAGAATCTCTGTGTGTGTTTCCCACAGCAGCTCAGAGCTGCTGGACCCTGAGCAGGATGAGCTGAGGGCTGAGGTTGCCTGTGGTCTGGGTGTGGGCATCTGCTGACTGTCCTCTCTGCATCATCTCTCGGTCAGGTGGTACCAGACCCTCATCCACCTCCTGAAGGGGAATATTGGCACAGGGCTGCTGGGGCTGCCTCTGGCTGTGAAGAACGCTGGCATCCTGGTAAGGAGCTCTCAGAGCAGTGACCTCCAAGTGTTGGGCAGCTTGCATGGCCAGCGTTAGGGCTTGACTCCCTGCTGAGATACCTCGTGGTGCTCAGCAGCTCCTGAGCTCTGCATGGGTCTGTCCCTGCCACTCCTGTGTTGCACTGGCTGCTCTGGAGGGGTTCAGTGCAGGAGCTGGGGCTGTGGTTTCCTCTGCTGGGGTCAGGCAGGGTGCTTTCCTCCACGAGGCTTCACGTGGGCTGGCCCAGCCTCACAGCTCTGCCCGGGTCGTGATCAGTGGATGTGACACAGCTTTGCTGCCCGAGGTTGTGCTTGGAGTTCAAACAGCAGCCCCCAGCTTCTGCCACATCTCCCTCTGCTTTTGTCCCAGCGCTCAGCTCCTCTGTGTCTGTGTCATGCCCCAGCAACTGCCCACGTCGGGGGTGAGGATACCTTGCTGCCCTGCTCTGGGTTTCCTCACCTGAGAATTCAAAATATAAAAAAGAAAACTTCCTTTCGTTGTCCAGAGCGTGACCTCTTTGCCACCTGTATTTTAGGGATGTGCCAAGACAGTTTGAAAAACAACCCCAGAAGCGATTTGCCACATCCAAACTGCCCCAACTTGCTTCTTTTGCATCATCCCTGCCAAGCTCGCTGCTCTCTGCGGGGTTACTGGGTCCTGGGGGGCTGGTTCCCGGGGGCAGCACCCAAGCTCTGGTTCAGCCTCCAGCAGTGTCTTGCCTCGCCGAGCCCGTGGGGTTTGGTCTGGAGGTAGAGCCCGTGGTGCAGCTCTGCCTCTGGCCATCAGAGTGCAGCCTTGCCCCTCTCTTCCCCTGCAGCTGGGTCCTCTGAGCCTGCTGGTGATGGGCGTCGTGGCTGTGCACTGCATGGGCATCCTGGTGAAGTGTGCCCACCACTTCTGCCACAGGTAAGGAGCGACTCCTCCGCTGCCCCCGTGGCTCCTCCTTCCCTCCCAAGCAGCCCTGTTGTTTTCCTGAAGCCTCCCTGCAGCGAGCTGCCTGGGTCGAAGCCTCAGCTGGGAACTGCTGCTGGGCTTTTTCCCAGGGAAAATTGGAACTTTTTTCCTATTAATGTCATCGTTTGCCTTGGGAGCCAACAGACAGGGCTGACGTGACGGCCCTTCTCTCTCTCTTCTCTGGACAGGTTCCAGAAGCAGTTCCTGGACTACGGGGGTGCCGTGGTGCACGGGCTGGAGTCCACTCCTGTCTCATGGCTGAGGACTCGTGCCATCTGGGGAAGGTACCTGCTCCCTGCTCAGGCAGGGCACTCGTCTGTAAGGCCAGCACGAGCTGCAGCCAGGACACGAGAGCCAGCTGCTCTCTGAGCTGTGTCAGCAGCTGGCCACAAGTGACTTAAAATGTCCACTCTACTCGGTGTCCCCTGCACGTTGAGGTCCTGTCCCCAGTCAGATGGGGCTTATTCTAAAGGGGTGTGAGAAGTGAGTCTGTGCAGCATAACAGAAGGGTAAATAACACGTGCTGCAGTGCTGGCCCTTCTTGTTAGACACTGATCATGTCCAGTAGCTGCTCCCAGGGACCCTGTGGATGTCCCACGTCACACAAATCATTGCATATCAGGTGCTGGGAACACCCACCTGTCCCTGTGTCCAAGGAGTGTTGTTTCCAGCAGTGACAATTCTGCAACAGACAGAAGATGCTAAACCCAAGGGGGTGACTGTCCTCCTGAGGCTGGTCCTGACTTTATGGGAGAGGGAGACCAGGGAGGCTGAAGTCTGTGAGGTTAGATGGAGATGTGGGCCTGTCTCCCCATCATGTCTTCTGTCCTGATCATTGAGGAGAAGCAAGCTGGGTGTGCTCTGACCTGCACAGCTCAGTGTTCAGAGCAACCTCAAGCAACCCAAGTGGGCTCTTGCTTCTGTATGGCCTCGCTAACAAGTGTTCTCTTTTCTTCCCTAGGCATGTAGTGGGACTTTTCCTGATCATCACTCAGTTGGGTTTCTGCTGTGTGTACTTCGTCTTTCTGGCTGACAATCTGAAACAGGTTAGACTTACTCCCCCCTTTGTGAGGAAGGGGAAGGTGAGAGGGGTGTGGAGGTGCTTGGGTTCTTCTTGGCTTTTGGGTCACGGCTCTGTTCTCCACCAAAGCTCTGGTTTGTGTAGCTGATGCTGGTCAGAAGGTACTGCTCCTCTGCCTGGGTATTTTGGAGGTCTGGTTTCCCCATTCAAACAGGGCAGGTTTTTCTGAGAGTCCCTGTGAGTTTACTCCATGTGGAGAGGTGTTGGAGCTGCCTGCATCACGCAGGGGAAGCAGGGACCATGCCTGGTGAGGGGAGACAGGAGAGATGTGACAGTGGGGGGGTTGTACCTTCGATGTCCTGCCCACCTCAGTTAACAGGTTTACTGATACTCTGTGTAGATAGTAACATATAATGGGTACCAGGACCTGGCATGAACCTCCCTTTCCTGGACTTGTTTACATTCCAGTTTCTTGCCTCATCCCATGGCTCTGGAACTTAATTACATCT